TCCACTGCTCTCTTCAAAGCTGTCAGACAGAGTCGTTTGCGTCTGCAGAGGTTTCTGCTGCTTTTGTTGTTGTTTACTGTGCCCTGTCCCCAGAGGTGGAGTCTACAGAGACAGGCAGGTTTCCTTGAGCTGCTGTGAGCTCCACCCAGTTGGAGCTTTCCAGAGGCTTTGTTTACCTACCTAAGCCTCAGCAATGGCGGGTGCCCCTCCCCCAGCCTCCATGATGCCTTGTGGTTAGATCACAGACTGCTGTGCTAGCAATGAGGGAGGCTCCGTGGGTGTGGGACCTTCCTGGCCAGATTTGGGATATAGTCTCCTGGTGTGCCCATTTGCTTAAAGCGCAGTATTGGGGTGGAAGTTACCCGATTTTCCAGGTGTTGTGTGTTTCAGTTCCCCTGGCTAGGAAAAGGGATTCCCTTCCCCCTTGTGCTTCCCGGGTGAGGCGATGCCTTGCCCTGCTTCAGCTCTCGCTGGTCAGGCTGCAGCAGCTGACCAGCACCGATTGTCCGGCTCTCCCTAGTGAAATGAACCCAGTACCTCAGTTGAAAATGCAGAAATCACCGGTCTTCTGTGTCGCTTGCACTGGGAGTTGGAGACTGGAGCTGTTCCTATTTGGCCATCTTGCTCCACCCCCTCTGGAAAGTTTTTCAGAGCAGTAGGCTGGAATGATTTTATAGTGTCACTTTGTTTCTCATCTGTCATAGATTACTATTCTTTATTATCTAACGTTGAGTTTCTTAAAAGCCGTTGTTTTATATATTTTGTCCAGATGATTTGGTTGTTTTAAGTTATAAGGTAAATCTATTCCTTGTTACTCCACTTTTGCTAAAAGCAGAAATCTATTTGCCCATTTTTGGATTGGGGCTTTAATTTACACATAAATCACTTACCTATTTTAGTCAAATGTTATTAGACTTTACATTATATCTATGAAGATACATGTGTGCTAACTTATACATTGTTACCAGTGATCTAAGGCTAATAGACACCCTTTATTTCCAGTAAGGACCCTCAATATGTTTTATTCCTCCAAAGCTGTGCCTATTGGGAGATACAGTTTCATACAGTTAAGATGGTAATGTAATTAAAACACACACACACACACACTCACACACGGGCACTACAGGCAGAAAATCTAGCCTGAATGTGAGTTTCTTTCATTTGTTGGTACAACTCTGGGAAACTTGTCTCATGTCTGAACCTATGCTTGCTCATCTGTAAATGAAACTAATTAAATAGGATTATTGTGGAAATGACACAGCATAATGTATATTAAGCATCTGACAAATATTAAGCCCTGGCTAAAGTTAATGACATTTTCTTCTCTTTTAATTATGTATTTTTCAGTGTGCAAACAACTGTGGATTTAGTTACAGACAAAGGATTACATATTGCACCGGGATCCCATCTACTAAGAAACATAAGCTCCATCGACTTCGGCCTATAGTCTATCAAGAATGCCCTGTGGTGCCTTCCTCTCAGGTTTACAAATGCATTAACAGCTGTTTGCATTTGGCCACTTGGAAAGTTGGAAAATGGGGCAAGGTCGGTGTATAAGTATGAATTTTAAAACTTCTGAATAAGACTTTCTAGGTGTGGGAAATCTGGTAATCTGTATGTCTAATTAGATCCTCAGAATTGCTTCAGACCACTATTGTCTAAAAACCACTTTATCAGTTATTTATATAAATATCTTATCTCTTGTTTGATGCTTGCTATAACTTGCTTAAAGCAGAGACCATAACTCATACTTATTTCTGTTCCTTAGAGGACTTAGCACAGTCGCTTGCACTTTGAGTAAGTGCTTAAGAAATATTTATTGGTTAAGTGAAGAAGAAAATAAATATGACGTATGAGTAATAAAAGTTATTTATATCATAATCTGTTTCCAATTGAATTTATAGAAAGTAAGTAAATATCACTTTGCAAACTTAGCACATAACTTAATGAGATAGTCTTAATTACCATCACTGACTAATGTTTATTAAGTATTTACAATGTATCATTGCTAACTGCACAAAATGAATGAGAAGAAGCCAGTAACTGAGAAATAATAGATTCAGGCTCATGCCTAAGGATTTTTCCCACCTGGGACTCTCCAGTCAACAGCATAGTTTTGTGTCTTCTGTGGATCTAGCCACTACTGACCCTCAGTGTGCTACAGAAATACTTGGTCTAAGAAAACGAGACTTGGATTTTCTGGCCTTATGATTCATAATATAGTTTACCTTCAAATTTTACTCTGTTCGCAGTGCTCAGTGACTTGTGGAATTGGGATAATGAAGAGACAAGTGAAATGCGTTACCAAACATGGTTTGTCCAGTGACTTATGTTTAAACCATTTAAAACCAGGTGCTCAAAAGAAATGCTATGCCAATGACTGTAAGTAGTAGACTTCAAAACTCTACCTAATACCTAAGGGTTTCTAATACGTTTCAGTTAAAATAAATATCTATAGTAGTTGCACACTCTACAAAACAAAGCGTCAGATATTCAGAGTGTAGCAATATTTCTATGATTAGGTTCATGCTGTGTTTGTAATTTGCTCTGTGTTAAGTTGTGTTAATTTGTCTTTGAAGGTAAATCATTTACCACCTGCAAAGAAATTCAAGTGAAAAACCACATTAGAAAGGATGGTGACTATTACCTTAACATTAAGGGAAGAATAATAAAGGTATTATGAAAACAGTTCCTATTTTATTTTAACGTTGATCATTGACTTTGGAAAAAGTTTTTCTAGATGTTTACATTTTTTCTTTAGATTCATTGTGCAGACATGCACTTGGAGAACCCTAAGGAATATTTGACACTGGTCCAAGGTGAAGAAAACTTTTCTGAAGTGTATGGCTTTAGGTATGAGATGTGTGTTGGTCTATCTGAGCATTTTCATGATCTTCCAAGAGAATTGGAACGTCTAGCCTTCAGAGTGATACTTGAATAGCTTACATGTGAGACAAATAATGTAGGAGCAGGTAGACATGTTAGGACCTAAACCAGATGTTGTTAATGCCTGTTCAGAAATAAAGGCTTGAATATTAACCTGTACTGTTAATATTGACTATTGACAGAGAGATTGACTAAGAATACTGTGGCTGAGAAGTCAGACATGGAGAAGGGAAGAATTTAAGAACTATGTGCATTTTCATAAAATCAAACTAATTCCAGTAATAAAAGCTAGAAGAATTGCAGTTGAATTATTTTTCTACAAACTCTTCTTAGATGTTTCATTGAGAATTTTGTAGTTTCACCTAAAGTGATTTTTACTTCTTTCTTAACTTGTTGACATTATAATATCGAAGAGCAGGAGTGTGTTTTATTTTTCTATTCCCAAAGATAATCTACATTATGGCCTAGTAACCGCATCTAATACTAAAATATTCCAATGTTGTTACAGACTAAAAAATCCGTATCAATGTCCTTTTAATGGGAGTAGGAGGGAAGACTGCGAATGTGACAATGGACACCTAGCTGCTGGATACACTGTTTTCAGCAAAATAAGAATTGATCTCACTTCCATGCAAATTAAAAGTAAGTGCTCAATCTACATTTTAGAATCAAAAAGCCTCCATTTGCTTATGAATGTCTAACAATATGTTGGTATATATGGTAGCCAGGGTACAGAGAAGGACCTGGCATTGTGCAAAAATTGCTTACTTTTTAAAAAACAGTTAGCTACATACTTCCTCTGCAATGACATGCACCATGAGGACTTTTTTTTTTTTTTTTTTTTTTTTTTTTTTTTTTGAGACGGAGTTTCACTTTTACTGCCCAGGCTGGAGTGCAATGGTGCAATCTTGGCTCACTGCAACCTCCGCTTCCTGGGTTCAAGCAATTCTCCTGCCTCAGCCTCCCGAGTAGCTGGGAATACAGGCACATGCCACCATGCCTGGCTAACTTTTTTGTATTTTTAATAGAGATGGGGTTTCACTGTGTTGGTCAGGCTGGTCTCGACCTCCTGATCTCAGGTGATCCACCCACCTTGGCCTCCCAAAGTGCTGGGATTACAGGCGTCAGCCACCGCTCCCAGCTGGGGACTCTTAATAAAAATGTAATGACAGTGACAAGTAAGATACTGCCCTTCCAAGATAAAATCCTCTACCTTAAAATCCTCAGGTACATTAAGGATAAGAAAGTTGATATTCTCAGTCTACTTGTGGAACCTTTTTGCAGGGTTTAAAGTAATCATTTAAATTAGTTTCAAATGATAATTTATCAGGTATTTTCCCATACATTATCTCATTTGACCTTTTTAACACTCTTATATTAGTTAAGGCAGATATTACATCACACTGTTATAAGTAATATGGAAGTTAAGCAACTTGTTCCATTCATACAATTAGTAACTGGCATTAAGGAAAACAAAGTCCTACTCACAGACCTTAGATTATACATCATATTGCTTTTCTAGAAAATAATTTATAATACAATCAAGTCAAAACATCTTTATAGAACTTAATATACACCAGGCAAATGCAGCCTGCCATCTTGAAAGTTACATATCTACATGAAGATGCAAAAAAGTGCATTTCACTAGCAGAGGCTCCATCTCAATTGCCAGTGAATCGTCAGTGCCTAGCATGGTGCATAAGTCACAGAAAGCAATGAAAAAAATTTAAGACAGCATATGCATGAATACATAATATATAAATTATAGTCATATAATTATGAAGCATTATTATTAATAATAATGGCTATGATTTACTGAATATCCGCCATCTACTACAGTGTGGAAGCATTATGTTACTATGGTTACAATAATAAATTCTAGACTGTCTGGGTGTAATTCTTCATCTTCATTTATCAGCTGTGTGATGTTGGGCATATGTCTTTAAGCCTCAGTTCCCTCATGTGTAAAATGAGAAACTACCACTAAGGTTTTTTCTTCATTTCCTTTTTCTTTCCTTCTTTTTTTTTTTTTTTTGTTCTTATTTGGTGATGATTAAGAGATGATATTTGTAATGTATCTAGTCATTGTTTTACATGTAATACAAGGTTGTCAAACCCACAGCCTGCAGTCCTCATGCGGCCCAGGGCGGCTTTGAATGTGGCCCAACACAAATTTGTAAACTTTCTTAAAACATTTTGAGACTTTTTTTGTGATTTTTTTTTTTAGCTCATAAGCTATTCTTAGTGTTAGTGTATTTTATGTGTGGCCCGAGACAATTATTCTTCCAGTGTGGCCCGGGGAAGCCAAAAGATTGGACATCCCTGATAGAGTACATGCTGTATAAATATTGGTTATCATTTAATAATGTGTATGGTTATAAGCATGTTATTAGCACTCTAAGTTTCTAATAGGCACTCAGTAGCTTATTTGCTGTTAACTAGGCTGCTTTTTAACAAAGCTGCCATTTTGCCAGGCATTAGTCTGGGCCCGAAGCATACAATATCAAATATATACAGTTTCAGCTCCTCTCTTCTTCTTCCTCAAACTTGTATGGTAAAAATCCAGCCTTGATTAAATTAAACCTCCTACCCATTCTGTGCTTGTAGCATAAAACTGAATGTGGCAAATAATACCAGCCCTTCTGACTGATACCATTTTAAACCCATGAGTATTAAGCTTACAGGGATCCTTGGCACCACCAAGTAACTCTATTGCATTTCCCTAGTCCATTCTCTCTCCTACTTTTCTAACTTATACTTTCTCCTCTAGCTTCGAATTTCAACATTTTTAATACCTCCATTCTACTAACTCACTGCTGGTGATCTTGCTCGCTATTTCACTGAGAAAATAAGAACAACCAGAAGGGAATTGCTCAAGTTCCCACTTCCATATCTACCCGCCTACCTGAATCTTTACCTACCTCCTTTGCTTTCTCTTGTTTACTCGGATGAACTCTTCATGCTCCCATCCAAGGCAAATCCTGCTCCTTGTCCTCTAAACTCAGTGCCTTGTACCTACTCAAGAACATTATTTCAGCATATTTCATGATCTCCCTCACATCCTCAATTCTGCTGCTGAATCATTTAAATTCTTCATAGAGAAACATGTTATTTCTTTCATCATAATCATGAGCAAATAATCTTGACCTTTACCCATCCAGCCACTGTCCAGTTTCTGTGTTCATTTATAGTAAAATTTCTGAAACAAGTTATAATTTGCACTCTCCAATTTCTCTTTCCCCATGCTATACTCTAATCAATCTCTTATTCATATCGCTTCAGGAAACAGTCCTTATCAAAGTCGTCAATAACCTGTTTCCCTAAATTCAATGATAAAGTCTTGTTTTTCATCTTACATGATTCATCAGCAGCATTTGTATACCAGGACACCATCCTCTAGTGGTTTTGCGCCTTTCTTGACCCCTGTTCCTCCTGTCTTTCTCACTGTTTCTCGACTTGGCAAGTTATTCTTCATCTTCTACAACTCTGAATGTTGAGGAGCTGTAGGATTCAATTGTTATTTGGGAATCTCATTAAATTTATAGATTTCAAGTACCACCTGTTAAATGACAGTCCCAAATGCACATTTCCAACCTGGACTGCTACCCTAAACTCCAAAATCCAACTGTCTACTCAGCATATTCATATGAATGTTTAATAGGCATGTCACACTCAATGTATCCAAAACTGAACTTCTAATATTTCCTGCCAAACCTGCTCCTCAAACCCAAATGTTTACCACTGCAGTAAATGCCACCAATAATAGTCTACTTAGTCTAGCTAAAACCTAGCAACACCTTCAACTTCTACCTTTCTTCCACACCCACATGTAATTCAGCATCAACTTCTGTCAGGTGAATTTTCAATGTGCATGCTGTTATGGACAGAACTGTGCCTTTCACTGGTCAACAAAAGTCAACATGACGTTCCCACCTCTATTCCCTCTCAGTTTTCTGCTGCCCCGACCCCTCTCATCACTCCTACTATAGACACAGTGGCCTGTTTGCTGTTCCTTGAACACACCAGGTATGCCCCCATCTTAAGGCCTTTGCACTTACTCTTGCATCTGCCAGGAACATTCATCTGTAGCTATCTGTATGTTTTACCCCTTCATTTCTTTTGGGTCTCTGCTGAAATTCATCTTCTAAATAAGGCCATCCAGAACCACTCTCCACCACTAAATTCTCTTCCTCCCCATTCTATTCTCTGCTTTATTTTCTTTCCATAGCAAGTATCACCCCTAATATACTGTAATATTTGTTTTATAACTTGTCTCTTCCTGGTAAGACTCAGATTCCACTGGCCTCTGTTTCACCCACTGCTGTGTTCACCATATCTATAATACTGCCCAATGCAAAATATATTGTAAATAAGTATCTGTTGAATTGAAAGTCCTTGCTTTTCTCAAGAGGTTTATAGGAACAGATAGTTTGAACAATCTCAAGACAACTTTGAGTTAACAAAAGTGGCAAAAAATGAGTTTTAGGAGGAGGGAGAAGCATGAACAAAAGCATGGAAGGGAGAAGCATTTTGCTGGTATCAGAGAATAAAAAGCAGTCTAGTTTTGTCTAAACATAAATCAAATGTAGGTTGGGGGATGGTAGCTTATTAGGGAAGTTTGCAGGGAGCAGATCATGAAGAACAGTGTATACTAAACTATCCATTTGAATTTTATCTTGTAAGTTATAGGAGCCATTGGAATAAAAGCGTAAAGGCATATGCAGGGGAAGGAATAGAGTTGGTTGGAGGCAGAACAAATTGTATCCATGAAAAATGATTAGGAAGCTAATGTAACAATTCAGATAAAAAGTGATGAGTACTGGAAACATGGGTCAGGATACCCATCTGAGAAATACTAAAGAGGTAGACACTACAGGATTTTCTGATAGAAGGGGTGTGGGAATTAGTGACATGGAATGTTTAGAAAGGTTTCTAAAATAACAAGACAGATGGTAATACAGTTTAGTGAAATGGGAAATAGACCAGGGCAAATAAATTTGGAGAAAAAGGTAATTCATTTAGCTTTGAACATGTTAAATGACAGGTATCTGTGGGTCATCCAAGTAATGATGCCCAACAGGAGTTTGATATATGTTCTGTAACTCATCAGAGTCAAGTGAACTGCATATATACTTATGAGTCATCATTGTGTAATTGGCTGATGAAACTGGCTGTTGATTGACATGCTTTTGGAGATAGTAACAATAGATGCTTTGAAAGTTGTGTCTCTGATCTTTCCCAGCCTAACCCACAAATGCCACAAATAGATAGTGGTGTGCAGATGAATGATGACCAGTTATTCAGGGAAGAAAAAGTCTGATTTGTGGTGTTAGGCACAAATATATACATGGTGTATATATTCCCGCCATGACCAATCATAAGCTACCAACATGACCTCATTGTACCTGGGCTTGGGAAGAGATGCACACAGTTGGCTCTCACTATTTGTTACAAGCTGGCTCTGGTAAACCATGGAAAGCTTCCTGGTTTCCTGTGGAGAGATTTTTCTCTGTGGAGAGATTTTGAATTACCTAAATGAATTTTTATATATGCTGTCCATAAGCATTCAATTTTATTGTTTTGTCATTTATGTTTACATAACCTTTTTTTCTCCAGTGATTTTGCTTCTGACCCCACTTTATCTATTTCAGATATTCTGTGACTTCAAATGTAATAATGCATTTATTTAGTTTTAAATCTTCTATTTAATTACTAATATGCTTGCCATTTGTTAGGGAAATTTATGATATGAACATTTTTGTATTAAACAAAATTTATTCATTGAGAGCCTAGTCTATGTTATACACTAGAATTGTGGCATTTGTGCTTAAAATTTTAAAATTAATATATAAATATGTATGTTTACTAAGTAATATGAAAACTCTGTGTTTGATGACAAAGATTGCATTATTGTCTCCATGCTAAAGAGTTTCATTTATTATTTTCTATTTTCTATTTATTATTTTCTAGCTACAGACCTTCGTTTTTCCAAAACAATATTTGGAAATGCAGTTCCATTTGCCACAGCTGGAGATTGCTACAGTGCTGTCAGATGCCCACAGGTATTTCACATTTGTTTGATTAATTTTCTTTCATTGTGAAAAAAAATTATAGCTTCTCTTCATTTATTTTTTTTGACCAGAATATTGCAATAAACATAAGTAAATAGAAATGCAAAGCTTCATATATGCACTTTGTTTCAAAGGTCATAGATAATCTTTGGAGGAAAAGCATCTTTGCCAATTTTGGGTTTGTTTAAAAGGTGTAACAATAATTTTAAACAGATTCTATTTCTTCTTCCATAATATGTTATCAGTTTTTTCATCTTTCCATTTAGTCCATGGAAATGAATAGATATTTGTCAAAAGGCAAAGGAACGGATCACAAGCATGTGACTTTCATACACTTCTGCTGACATCAGTTCTAATAGCTTCCTAGGTCTGTAACATCCTCCAAATGAGAGTCTATTATTGGTAAAATTTATGTTGAATACATTTTCATATTTTTATTCTTGCTTTTATCCTTTATTTCCAGAGTTCTCTTCACATGCTCTTATGTCATTTCCATGATTTCCAATATAGAGCATGCTTCTTAGAAGAAAATTTACTCTCACATTTTTAACTAGAGATTTTACATAGATAATGAAAACAATATTTTTATGGTAAGATGAAGGATTGTAAGCTAGATGAATATAGCACTTTTAGGTGACTCATTGGTAATGGAATATATGAATCAAATCTACTACCTAAGACAAGCGGTAATTACTATATTGTATGATTTTGAAGAGAAGTAGTTAATAGTTTGTCATAGACCTCTTTTCTTAGACTATTCTGTTTATAATTTTCATCATATGACATTGAAGTTACGCTTATATTAGGAAGAGAGGACATTTTCTGTTAGAGAACTTAAAGGAGATCAAGAGACACTGGAACTACAGGCTGAAATGAATAAAAGCCTAGATAAATCTATACATCTTAACTTAGGTCCAGAAACTCAAACTGAATGTGGTGATGTTACATGAAAAGACATAGGTGTTTTATTCACCCAGCATGAGTTCAGTATGACTCCTTTAGAGCAGGGAGTGATTTATAAACAACCTAATATAGTCATAAGGTTACAAAACAAAATAGCAAGATGGAAGGATTTATTTTTATTTGATACTGAAACATTACAGTTATTTTAAAATTTCTATCTGTAAAAGATCATTTTCAATCTACTTAGGAGTAGGGGGGGATCACAGGAAAGAAAGAAGGGTTTAAATCATGTCAACTAAGGAAAATGGAGAAGGTAGCCAGGAAAAGAGTGGGAGATAATTGTAACGATCTTTACATATTTAAAGAACTACCATACCATGAAAGAGGAATGAGGTCATGTGTGTTCCTCCAGGAGGCATTAATAGGGCAGTAGATTCCAGCTCAACAGTAAGAAGGCTTTGACAGGTAGAGTTGTTGGTAAGGAGAACCCAAATCTGGGGCCCAAATAAATCATTAATTTTTACCTTTATTTGTATGGATTGATCTTGTATTCTGCAACTTTGCTGAACTAATTTATTAGTTGTAACAGTAGATTTCTTAGGATTTTCTTTACACACAGTGATGTCATCTGCGAATAAAGATAATTTTACTACTTCTTCAATCTAGATACCTTTTATTTCTTTATCTTGTTTTATTGCCCTGACTACAGCTTCTAGTACAATACTGAATAAAAGTGGCAAGAGTGAACATCCTTGTGTTCTGATATTAGGCAAAAAGCATTCAGTCCTTCAGCAGCAAGTATGTTAGTTTCATGTGTATGTTAAGTATGTCAGCTAAGAGTATTTTCTAGATATCCTTGATCAGGTTGAGGACATGTCCTTCTGTTTCTAGCTTAAGTGTTATTATAAAAGGATGTTGGATTTTCTGTGGAGAAGATCCTGTGGTTTTTGTCCATTACTGGATAGAGTGTTACCACACTGATTTATTTTTGTATGTTGAAACACAATCTTGCATTCCTGTGATAAATCCCACTTAGTCATGGTGTATAATTATTTTCCTATATCACTAAATTTGGTTTGCTAGTATTTTTCGAGAATATTTCATATTTGTAGGAGAGATTGTTGTATCTTTGTTTTTCTTGTGATATCTGTCTCGTTTTGGTATCACAGAAGTAGTGGCCTTATAGAATGTAGTGGGACATGTTTTTTCCTATTGTACTGTTTGGAAAGAGTTTGTGAAAAATGTATTCTTTATATGTTTGGTAGAATTTACCAGGAAAGCCATCTGAGCCTGGGCTTTTTGTGAAAGTTGTTTTAATTACCAGTTTACTTTATTTATTTATTATAGATGTATTCAAATTTTTGCTGTTCTTGAATTTGTTTTGGTAGTTATGTCTTTTTAGGAATTTGTTTTATCTAAGTTAACTAATTGGTTGTCACACATTGTTCATAGTATTCCATTATAATCCTCTGCTCTTCTTTTTCCAGTGTTTTAAGGTAAAAGGGTAGATTATTGATTTGAGATTATTTTTCCTTTTTAATATAGGCATTTATAGTTATAAATTTTCCTTTAATCAATTCTTTTGTTGCATCCCAAAATATTTGGTATGTTGTGTGTTTCCTTTAATTTATTTTATTTTCTATTATCTATAGTTATGTCTTTGATATATTGGTTATTTAAGAGTGTGGAGTTTGATTTCTACGTATTTGTAAATTTGCCAAATTTTCTTTTTTGAATTTCAACCTTTATTGTGACTGGAAAACACGCTCTGTGTTATTTTATTTACTTAAATTTATTGAGGCTTATTTTATGGTATAGCATATAGTTTGTCCTGGAAAATCTTCAATACATTCTTGGGAAGAATGTGCATTCTGTTGTTGTTGGATGAAGTGTTCTATAGACTATGGACCTTATTGGTTTATAGTGTTGTTCAACTCTTTCTTTCTTGTTGATCTTCCGCTTAGTTGTTCTATCTGCTGAAATTCTACAACTATTATTTTTAAATTGTCTATTTCTCAATTCAATCTTTTATGTACTTTGTTTTGCTTCATTTATTTTGAGATTTTGTTGTACATGAATATATAATTGTCATAACTTCCTAACATATTGACCTTTTTATTATAAAATATTTGTCTTTATCTACAGTAATGTTTTTGTTTTAAAGTCTAATTTATCTGATATTAGTGTGGCCACTTCGGCTCTGTTAGAATTGCTATATGTATTTTCATCCCTTTACTTTCAACTTATTTATATCTTTGGCTCTTCAGAATGTCTCTTATAGAGTATTTTGTTGGATTACTGCCTTTGATTGGATTTCTTTAACGTTACTATTGCTATGTCTGGATTTACATCTGCCGTTTTACTTTTTGTTTTCTATATGTCTCATGTTGTCTTTGTTCAACTGTTCCTCCTTACTGCTTTCTTTTTTATTCAGTGAATGTTTTCTAGGCTAACATTTTAATTTCCTCAATTTTTTCATTATTTTTGAATTGTTTTCTTAGTGGTTATTCAAAGGCTTACAGTATATGTCTTATCATAATGTACTTTACATTTTACTATTGAGCATTCCTATCTTTCCAGTGAAATATAAAGACAGTACTACTATAAATGACCTATTTCTTCTCTTTTTCTGCTATATTTGTTACACATATACCATTTATAAAGGCAACAAACTTGCAACATATTGTTATTATATTAACTTAAATAATTTTATGTCTTTTACATAATATGAGAGAAGATAGAGCAATTATATATTCATAGACTTGGTTACATAAACCTTCTCATTTAGTATTTCTGGTTCTCTTTATTTCTTCCTGTGGATTTGACTTATCATCTTGTGTCATTTCCTAACTCTAAAACAGCTTTGCTTCCACCTCTCTTATTTGTCCCCTTATCGTCAAATATGTTACACGTCTATATATTACAGGTCAATAATATAATTATATATACCTTGGTTTATACGATTGCTTTTAAATCAGTTAAAATAAGAAAAGTGAAGACAAAAGCAATTATAGCGTATTTTATAATTATCTGCATAATTACCTTTATCAGTACTCTTGATTGTTTTGTGTTGATTTGTATTAATGTCTGATGTTACTCGATTTCAGCCTGAAGAACTTCCTTTAGTATGTCTTGTAAAGTAGATCTGCTAGCAAGAAGTCCTCTCATTTATTTAATTTTTTTTTTTATCTAGGAGTGTCTTTATTTTGCCTTCCTTTTTGAATGATAGATTTGCTTATTGAAAAATTATTGATGCACAGTTTTTATTTTCAGCACTTTGAATATATCATCACACTGCCTTCTGACTTCTAAGTAGATAATAGATGTCAGCTTTTATCTTATTGGGTTCCATGGATGTGGTCATTTTTCTCTTGGTGTTTTTGGGGATTTTCTCTTTGTATTTGTTTTTCAATATCTTTACTGTGTCATATTTGATGTGCCTCTCTTTGTGTCTACTTGGCTTGGAGTTCACTAAGCTTCTTGGATGGGTAAATTAATATGTTTCACTGATTTTGGAAAATTTTCAGTCATTATTTCTTCAAATATATTCTCTGCTCTTTTTAATTCTTCTCTCCTTTTGGTACTTCCATTGTGCGTATGTTGGTGCACCTAATGGTGTCCTTTCATTCCTCTGAGGCCCTGTTCATTTTTCTTCTTCATTTTTCTTCTCTGTTCTTCAGACTGCATCATTAACATCCCTTTAACTTTGCCAATTCTACTAGATCCAGTAGACAATTTCAGCCCCCTTTGTGAATTTTCTAATCTTGATTATTGTACTTTTCATCTTCAGAGTTTTCCTCTGACTCTTTGTGAAATATGATATCTTCATCTTTATTGATATTCTCTATTTGATGAGACACAGTTATCATACCTCCTTTTACTTTTTTAAACATGGTTTCTTTAGTCCTTTGAACATATTTGTATTAGCTGCTTTGAAGTCTTTGTCTGCTTAGTCTGACATCTGATACATCTCAAAGGAAGTTTTTCTTGACTTTTTTCTTGTGTATGCATCATGCTTTCCAGTTTCTTTGTATGCCTCATAAATTTTGTTGAAAACTGGACATTTTAGGTAGCTATATTTTAGCAAC